CGTGCTAAAACAATTGTGTTTTTCCAATTTTTGGCGCTGTCAGAACTACCGCAAGGTAATTTTACGTAGTCCTGTGAAGTTTTGTTGAAATCGGTTGAAAAATGTAGGAAATCCGATCCAATACATAAACGAACAGACACACACACACACACAACCTGGGTTTTATAATAAGTATGATGTCTTTTCGATTAGTTTTCATTCAAACAATTTACAATTCGAATAATCGTTTTCGAACAATTACCCTGCTTCGAGGTACATGTGAACATTTGTGATGACAATAGGACAGTTCATGCCTGCACACGCACATGACCAACGTTAGCTCCGAACAAAACGATTATTGAACAGGCCGAAACATCCAAAAGAACCTGGTATGTGCTGTTTTGTTTGTTTTTTTTCCAGACAAAAATTAATTTTCCAGGAGAAAAAAGCGAATGAGAGAAATGACAGATAGTTACGTGCAGATCCTTCCATGTTAGACACACCAAGGTTTTCCCTTCCGTGATGGTAGTGAGTAGTGACACGTCATGCTACCCTATTTCTTTCAACAGAGTCTTCGCTTGAATCCTGCTGTCTTCACTGAAGTGCTGGAAACAGTTGTGACACCCTGGATAGAATGCGATAGAAGGCCGTACGTGTTTCAGAATTACTCTGCCGTTGTTCACAAAGCTGTGGTGACTCAAGATTGTATAGTGGGCCAATCTACACAACTACATCACACCAAACATACGTTCACCTAACTCGACAGACCTTGACTATTACATGTGGGGCGTTATTACGGGGGGACTAACCAACGTTCCCTTGAAACTGCCATTACCCGAGTAATATCTTTTCAGAGCATTAATAACGAACCCGAGAGATGAAACGACATGCTGTAATTGTTGCAATACAGGTAAAGAACAACGCATTTTTTGTAAGTGGCCCGGCTTTTTGTGCCAATCTACATGACCACATCACAAAAAAATAACTCACCAGACCTAAATTAAATGTGGCTGTTGAACGGGAGACTAATCATGGTGCCCACGATACGACTCATTCCCTGGAAGCCGCCATTACCCGAGTAATATTCAATATCAATACAGACCATGGGATGGGTACATGCCAACGATTCCGATCCCGCATTGAAGCCAACAATGGTGGGTGGTTACATCGAATAAAAATATAATCCAACCATTACTGCATCTGTGTATCAATAAATTTAGCTGTTTCTAAGATCTGGTTGGTTTTCGTACGTTCTTCAGTGTGTCATCAAATACCTTACGCATTCAATTACCCACACATTAAACTATACACACGCACGCATACACACAACCACAAATACATAACACACAACTAGATAGACATTGATTCAAAGAAAAAATTAGATTTATATTTCTGTTCGAAATGTGTGCTGACCTTGTTAAAATGAATCTTAATAGTTTGGATTGTTTTAATGTTATATTCTTCAGGACATCGTTGGTCATCACTCTCGACAGATTAATTTTCTTTATTATTTGTGAAATCCCATAATATCTTGAAAAATATAATGCGATGGTCTTCTGTTGCTTTCTCCGCGATTTTAAGTTCAGAATTTTCCTTCTCTCATTTGACAGTCTACCTTGCTATTTAACCTGGGGAGATGAGACGGGAAATTTGGAAGAGCTTTTAGAATTCCCTGGGTTCTCTTGGCTGCAATATACATTAAGTTTAAGATAGCACTAATACAATTGGTGATACAGAAAATTATTTTCCTGATTTTCATGCTTTGTGTGAAATTGGAAAAATAAAATATAGCGTTTTTTTGCGGATACTAAAATGGATTTGTCAAATTTGAGAAAATAAGAACTAGACGTCATCTAAAAGATTGGATAGGAAACAAAAACACTGCCGAGAAATGAGTAGAATCATGCAAGAATCAAGGGGATTGGATATATCATACCCTCACTCCACTAATCCATCTCGAATGAAAATTTCTTCAGGTCAATAAATATGATCGATGCTTTTTCGAAACACTTCGGAAATAATCGATTAGGAGAGAAAAAGAAGTTGTAAAAGATTTTGGCGTTAGCAAAATTCAAATCATAAAGCCATGAAATAAAAATAAAATTTTAATCTTTCTCTATCGAACCTTTCTTGTTTTGTATTTGTTTTTCATGAAATTTATTTCAAGCGTGTCTAGATATCACACAGAGACACACACCGGGGTCGTATTGATGCTCACCCAAGCATTACGCCGACAGAGAGAAAAAGAAAACAACTTTTGACAGACATGCATTTAATATTATAACATGGATACCGTAGATACTTAGAAGGCAATGTTACTGTTAATTTAGTTTGGTACAAGGTCATACAAGTATGGGGTAACCTAAAGAATATAGAATTCATTACTCAGTAGTAATAGTCAACAATATTTTTTTATATATATTTTTGCTCGCCAAATTCGATTTGATCACGCAATGTCGCTAATATGATTGCCGATTCTTCTATGTATTATTATTATTAATATGATTGTCAATAGTTATTTGTTTTGTACCATTGTGGATTTAAGATTCCTTGATCCATTGTAAATATACAAAATTCTATGAAAAAAAGAATCGATCAAAACTGAAAACAGAAAAGAGAGCGGGGAAAAAAATTGTTCCTTCTACCTGCAGAGATAAGAGAATGGGTGGCCCAAGAATTGAATATAACTGTCACATCTATTGCTTCTTTTATGTACTTAGAGATTCTTGATAAAATCCAAAGAATAATAAGCAATGTTATTGGTCCTGATCTGGCATCTTGGTTTCAGTCACTTTCGTAAGGTAGCTTCCCTGTGACTTTCCTATAAATATTTTCATTTTAATCGTTCTGATGAACTTTCCTCTTTGGTACCTAGACTAGATTGTATTAGATTGGCGGCAAGGTCTTACTATTTTACAGCTGAAATGGTTACATGTTACCGTAAGTTCTATGCTGACAGTTTCTTTTCTCGCTTGTATCACTCTCTTTTGACATCTTACTTTCCAGTCATCTTCAAAAATTAACTGCAATAGCGCTCCTTATCTCTTATCTTACCTGTTCTTTTATTGTTCTCTCTCCTTAATAATGTTTTTACTTTTTTCTTATTCTTTCAAACTCAGTACCATTTTGTCTTTGTGTTATCTCTCCTAAACCCTGTTCTGCCATCCATTTACTCAAGTTCACTAGGTAGGTTATTCTCTGCTTTCCTCTGTCCCTCTTGCCTTCAATATATCTTGTGCGTATCAAATTTTCCAAACCACGCTTCCTAATTATCTGCCCTAGTCAACTGTTTCTTTCTGATGTTAAGTATAAGTGTACTTTTTGTTTCCATTTTCTCTAAAACTTCTTCGATGCTAACAAGTTCGGCCTATAATATTCTTAGTGGCCTTATTGTCTTACTTGGATGTGCGAAAAATTCTTAGATTGTTCACTTCTCAAAGACCTGACCAAATAGCGACACATGATTTAAAAAAAAAAATACTTCTTGGTCGGCCTGAGAATAGAAAAAAAAACACGGGAAAAATTCTTGTTGATATTACTTGGGCAGATAAGGTAGTCTCGAGAATTGTTAGCTGAAAAGCATATTTATCTATGAGGAAATGCTGAAAAATGCATGACCTAATCCACTTCTCAAAGGTGTGAACAAAAAACAAAAATGTTTTTAGCATCAATTTTTGATTGGGTTGCTAATTTTTCAAAATCCCTCTTATTTTCTTCGTCGTCAGTCATCGTGGCATACAATTAACGTAGTGCGTCAGTCGTTCACTTTTGAACCGACTGCTCGGCTGAACTCTCTTCCTACGGACGGGAGGAACCCGAAGGAGGCTCTCCTTCGGGGAGGTAAACCGGCCCTGAACCCGTATATACGGGTTCAATGGTCATATTTTTGGCCGAGCCCACGGGCTCAGAATGCCCATCTTAAAAAGGCTTTGTGCCACATGACGCCTCGTGGCATACAATTAATGAGGCATTTGTCAAGATCTCTATCAATGTATACCAAGAAATATCCGTTTGCCTGAATCAAATTTAATGCTAATCAGACAACTTTGTTCTAAGTTATTTGATATGGAGTGACCCCAATATGTACTGGATCCACCCCCAAAAGATACCAAATTAGATCCTGCAGTCAGTGTCGCACCAGGTGTATCAGTAAGGTTGCTTTCTTCGCGCAAACAGAATTTCAGTGACTGTCCTTGTTATGTAAACAGGATGTGCACACGAGGAACAGACGGATGGCACGAAGATATATAAGCCCATCCCCACTAGCGATAGAAAAGACTCACATGCACGCAAAAATGAGATATAAGTTTGGAAAAATATCCACAGACATCAATATTAAATTGCAAAGTCCGAAACTGAATGAAGAATAATTTTACGTTTGAGAGATTTCGTCTCGTGTTCTTATTAGTTTGATACAAAATACAGGGAGAATTAGATTCATGCCTTTCCTCAAAACCGTTAGTGAACATAATCAGTTGAAATTCGAACTCAGTTCCCGATTACGAGCCGATAACTGTAAATTCAGTCGCTACATGGTAATTGTCTTATAGATTATTATTAGTGATTTTGATCATGACTATGTGCGCCATACTTTTACTTGTGTCCAACCTAAGCTACAACAACCGTAACACGAAGCCATCTTTGCCTGTATCCAATATTACTGAACATCGAAAAACATGGTTTGATAAAGTATTAATTTTTTCTTTTCTTTTTTTATAAATCCCGTCAAATTTCTCTTAATACATAATTTTTCATCGCGGGAAAATTTAATGAAGATTATCATCATTCAAGTGCAATCAGTGTGTACGCATGCGCAAAAGAAGAATTACAGAGCTTCCATCTTTAATGTTTGAACGCGCTGTAAATCAGAAAAGAAACGAAGATTTATTACTCTTAGCGTTAACATTAGTAGTACGATATCGGAAAGAGAGAAAATAAGACAGTTAAGATGGAAGAAAGAAACAACAAAGCAAGAAATTATTAAGTAAATAAAAAAGAAGGCGAAGAACAGTGAATAACGATTAAAGAAGACTGAAAAGGATAAAAAAGAAAAGAAGAGAATTGATATAAAGATATGATAGAAGAAAAGAGATGAAGGAGAAGGAAAGAAAATTAAAGAAAAAGAAAATGATAATGGAAGAAAAAGAAGGCAAAGAGAGTTTTAAAGAAAACAAATTCGAAAGACTAAGGAAAACTGAATATTTAAATTCTGTAATTTTATGCAAAGGTTGAAGGCGACTGAAGTTAAGACGACAAATTCTATAGTCAAACCAACCATGTTTAATACAAAAATCAACAAAAGTGTCAAGAAAAGAGAGAGAGAGAGAGAGATAGATAGATAGATAGATAGATAGATAGAGAGAGAGAGATAGAGAGATAGATAGATAGATAGAGAGAGAGAGAGAAACAAAATAAAAATAAAAAAACACTCGGAAACACAAAAGACTCACATACGAAACAGTAATAATAAAAAACAGGATGAGAAGACAAAGTTGAAGAGGTTAGAAAGAAAGTAGAAATAAAAGAAAGAAGAGATTTGTTGTTAGCCAATCGATGTATGGGAAAAATACAGAGACATTTATCTTGATTAAAATATCCAACCATGAATAATGAATTGTCGAAATAAATAATAATCAAAAAATTAATAAAAGAAAATAAAAACGGATGCAAGTAGTTGGACGAAATCTTGGCGAAAAGTCAATTTTTTCGCTTCAGTTTTCTAGTTTATGATTTTTAAAAAGAAAAAAATATTACGTTATTTCCCAGTTTATTTTCTGTTTCTTAAACAGAAACATTTTTCACCTTTGTTTAGTCTAATGATTCACAGAGTCTCAGGTCTTAATTCATTTCGTTCTAATCCTCCATTTTGAATTTTCACAGAGTATTTCAACTATCTCTTGCTAATGTTAACTATAAGTGTCTTTTTAGTTTGCAGTTTCTCAAAAACGTCGTCGTTGCTCACATGCTCGGTCCACGGTATTCTCAGTATCCACCTGTAGTACGACTTCTCTGTTGCTTCAAGTCTCTTCTTCACGTTTGAGGAAACTTTCCAACATTTACTGCAATGTAGGAGGACTGTTATTACGTAACAGTTCAGTACGTTTTTCTTGTTTTTTTTACGAAATTTTCCTGTTTCTTTATACTTTACTTAGATTTTGGAAAGCATTTTCTCTATTCCAATGTGTCTTTAGATTTCATTGTCTCACATTTCGTCCTCTGATGAAACACTTCTCCGATATTTAAATTGTTGTAATTGTTTCATTTTGGTATCTCCAATTTGTAATGATTGGCTGTTCATTTTGCTATCAACCATTAAGCTTAGAGAATATAAATAACGTATTGATTTAGTAAAGGGGGTGCTTGTTAAAAATAATATATATTGAAAATAAATACGATTTTATAATCATAAAACAGTATTTAAATGGAAATACATTTTAGTTTGTAGAATTAAAACAATATGGATTAGTGTTTATTAATTTATTTTTTTACGGCTGAGTGTTAATTAAATCCGAAACATATTTTGCATTCTAAGTATAATTATTTTTTGCGTGTCAATATTGCTTTAATATTATTTATTTTTGAGAGTAACAATGATTTTCCACACTATTTGACCCAGAGCCTAGGGAGGAGATGGTTCCATACCTTTCCCATGTAAGGGATTCGAATCTAACGAACTCAATTGGAATTCGAACTCTGCTCTCCTAGTTCTCTTTCCGTGCCGCTACAACCCTCAAACATCCCATTGATTAGTACGAGATTATTTAAAGATTAGATTAACTTATCAATCAATAGTTTATTATGCTTGTTGAACGAAAAATGTCTATTAACATTTCGATGTCTGTATGTCATATGAGCGTAAGTTATCAGACTGCATTTCAAAGTACGAACATAATATTGGTATTTAATTGAGTGTTTTTTTAAATTTCTAAACTTATGATCCTTTTGATAAAAGAATAAATAACTTCTTATTTGCCATATATTATTACCGCAATTGTCTGCTAAAAACTGCGAACGACCGTATATAGGAAAAAGAGGCAAAAGCTTTACCCATTTCTTTCCTTTTACCACAAAATGCTTTTCAGTTAAATTGAACAACAATATACAGCCTTAAATATTCCTTAAGCGTACTTGACTAGACACGATCAATGAATTCTACCAAATGAACACAGATCTCTTCTCAAAATGTACGCCTCTCACAATTTTAAAGGAACTTCACACATACCTACATACGAAAAAGAAATCTCTTCTACTGCATTCTTTCCATATTCTTGTATTCTTTTTCAAACAATAAGATAAGTGGTTGTTAATTGTACATAATTAATATGTATAATTGTTTGTATATTTAAAGAGATGCATGTATACCTTTCTCAATGGTATTTGTGCATAAATAATTGCAATTAATTCAGTCGGAATTTAAACCTGACATGCAGTGATAACCACGCTACGAGCACATCAATCTCTTCTTCACCAGTCATCTATGGGTTAAATAGTAAGGTATACTGGACTCTTTCTTCTTTCTAGGTAACCAGTCTCGGTGAAGGACAACTCTGAATTCAAAACTGGTTGTGCATAGGATTAGTAACTCCACCCTGTATAAAACTACTTTGCTACAGAAACCATAATAACAACAATTAGCTTTTAGAAGGCACCTTTTGCTATTCCAATGCGATTTCGGATTTCAGTGTCACACTTTCCGTCCTTGGTTAAAACACTTTGCAGATATTTAAATTGCTGTACATGTTTGATTTTGATATATCCAATTTGTAATTTGCTGGCAACCATGCATTCTGTTTTCTTGCAATTGATATTTAGAATTTTCTTCTCGCTTTATTTCATTACCACACAGTCCTCTCCAACGCCAAAAAAAAAAAAAAAAAAAAAAAAAGAACGCTTTCGTTTTGTGTCGTTTGTTGTCGCCCGTTTACATGGTTATTGTACACGTTACGAAATTTTATTATACGGAGTTTTGATGAACAAGAATTCTTTTTTGAAATCCTCACAGTATTTAGTATTGTTGAAATTATCGCTGACATTTTTGTCGAGATTCACAAACTCTTCGTTTCGTTCAATTTTGCAAACCAATTGGTGAAATTTGAATAAGCTGATTTGTTTGGAAAAATACTTGTCAAAACCTCTTCTTCGCGTTTAATAATTTCTTTAATTTAATTTAATTTTATAGGACTCCATGGTAAGCAATATTTTTTAAGAAAATTTCTTTTTTCCCCTTTTAACAGCGAGGAATAAATTCATAGCAACAATTTAAAAAGTTATACTTGTTGAATTTTTTTATTTTCAGTTTGTAATTTACATGTTGGGTTGTTCCGTTTGTTAACAACCATGTATTCCTTTTTCTTGCAATTGATATTTAGTCCTTTCTTCTTGTTTTCCTTCAATATCTTCTGTAGAAGTTACTGAAATTTCCTTTCTGTGTCTGCTATCAGTGCCGTGTTATCTGTATATTTTATGTTGTTAAGATTATGGCTGACAATAATGAATCCTGGTAGGCCTTCTAATTCTCTCAGAATTGCCTCACTGTATAGGCTGAATAAGTACTTCTCTTAAACCCCTTTCTATTTTATTTTCATTTTCTATCTCTTTGCAAGCGGTTTGCTGCCAGAATAGGTTGGGGATTGTTCTAATATCCTTTCCAAATATTTCAAGTTTACCAAGCAGTTCCAACAATTCTTTGAGGCGTAATTTATTCAACGCTTTTGTCTGATCTATAAAAAATAGGTATACATCCTATTGCATTTGTTTTGCTCTGTTTGATATCATTCTGAGCATAATTATTGCATTTCTTGTTCCAGTGTCTTTAACGAACCCGCACTGTTCTTGTCCTATTTCTGGCCTAATTCTGTTGCGCTCTCTATTTATCAGAATTCGGATAATAAATTCAAATAAACTGCGTGTATCATGATATCAAGAGTGGGAATTATAAAAGACATCCATTGAAACTTTTATTCACTCTAATAATTAGTATAAAGAAAATAACAAGTTACTGTTGTGTAGAAAAGAAATGAAACATTACATTTATTTTGAGCGTTAGAGTTCCGACAGCATTTGAACCCAGTTTCGTCAGATTTCTGCTCCCGATTAACAAGTATTTTACTGATCTCTCCGTTCATAATAAGAGATCACCGATTTAAATTTTTATTTCAATTTACAGTTGAAATGGCTAGATATAACCGTAAGTTCTAGGCTAACAGTTTCTTCTCTCGCACTTTTCGTTTGTGGAAATCTCTTACGACTTTCCAGTCAACTTTGATATTTAAAAATTTGCATACATGTCATATTATCTTCTGTCTTCTTAATTCCTCTTCTTTTATTGTTCTCATTCTTTATTAATGTTCTTTTTTCTCATATTCTCTCACACTTAGTATTCCCTTGCATCTTAGTAGCTTTATTGTCTTGCTTAGGGCGAAACGATTAAAAAACATAATGTATTCAGTGGATCACTCTTTATTTTAAAATCTTCATCTTCGTGAAATTTGGAAACTATTTAATTGAAGCTGTCTATATTTCTGAGATGAGGTATTATGTGCATTATTTACATTATTCGGACTATTGTCCTCATCTTTGTCGCCATATTTATTACAATGACATCCATTAAACATGACACGTGGAACTAGAACAGTTTACCCCAGTGAGCAAAATAAAGGGTTATGATCGATAACCACCTGAAGAAGACCGGAGCGTACAACGGCCGAAACGTTGTAATAAATATAGCGACAAAGATGAGGACAATAGTCCGAATAATGTAAATAAATGTATTTAATTGAAATGTGCAAGTGGATATCACTAAAGGTTTCAAGCATTTTATAATGAATTTATTTGTCTATTTTGATTGCATCAACGATCGCAGGCAAATATTCTTGCTTAGAAGTCAAGCACCGTTGAGAAGTTATCGCAATAACGTCTTTTTAAAATCCATTTGTATTGTTCATTTCGATATCTTTTCCTATTTTCAGTTTAATTCTGCTGCACACTTTGTTGGTGAGACGTAAACATAAACGCATATTTAAAAGAAATTTTAAATTTTAAAAATGAAAAAAATTAAATTAAATACTGCTGATGGCTTATCATAAAAGACGGAGACAAGAACGTGTGTAAATCCATTTTCCTGTTAACATTAAATAGTCTTAAGAATGTCCAAATTAGATTGACCATAACCTGCAAATATAAAAAAATTACCTGTAAATATAAATATTAAATACTCCAACCATACCGATACGTGTTCGATACCAATTTTGCACGGGTGTCTTGGTTTTTGTATTACGCATGCATTGCAGAAGAGAGGATCTGTGAAAATGAGTCGAATGCTCTAGAATGTGTAGCCTTACTCTTGATTAAAAAACATAATGTATACAGTGAATCATTCTTTATTTTTAAAACCATCAACGGATTTAGAAAAAAGATTTCAAATCAAAA